TTAATGTGAACTTATAAGTTAATGTGAACTTATAAGTTAATGTGAACTTATAAGTTAATGTGAACTTATAAGTTAATGTGAACTTATAAGTTAATGTGAACTTATAAGTTCATGTGAACTTATAAGTTCATGTGAACTTATAAGTTAATGTGAACTTATAAGTTAATGTGAACTTATAAGTTAATGTGAACTTATAAGTTAATGTGAACTTATAAGCAACAATATGGTCCAATATAAGTCAATATATAAACTAATATAGGCACTAACTTGTGAGTTGAGAGTTATATTATCTATATGTATTTCTGTCAGGATGTATCGACATGTGGACAGTGATAGGAGAGAGTGAGGGTCGCGAGGCAAGAGATACTGAAGGTTCACATGCTTATTTAATACTTACACAAGAAGACTCCAGTATGGTGAGTGTTACATTAATTGTCAAATTATATTTATAATTTGTAATTCATATACCTATGTACATAGGAGCGTCGGTGGCTCAGTGGTTAAGCACTTGACTTGCAATCTGCAGGTCCTGGGTTCGAATCCCGCCATGTATCAATGTGTTTTTCGATTTACATAAGTACATTTATTCGACGTTCTTACGGTGAAGGAAAATATCGTGATGCAACCTGCTCATATCTGAGAAGAAATTCAAAGATATGTGTGAAGTCAACCAACCCGCATTGGGCCAGCGTGGTTGACTATGGCCTAATCACCCTTAACTTAGGGTACCCTGATGATGATGATGTACATAATGTACCTTACTATTAAAACAAGGTTACACTGCATGTTTTGTTTATTAAGAACAAGCGTAAAATTAAGTCTTGACTTAATTGTTAAAAGCTCAAATTAATTTGCATGGACCCTTAGATGGAATAAATAGAATGAATGGATTTTATTTGTCTACGACTAGTAATGTTTGAAAGGTAGAGGAAAACCAAAGAAAGTATGGATAGATTGAGTAAAAGAATATAAGCGTATGGAGATGTATGGAGATACAGTTGATGACGCAATGTTTCACACAATAGATCCTACAAACTGGTCAAGAGATCAACGAGGTGGACAACTCAGGGTTCATGACGGGCGCGCCCACTGTGTTCGCCGGCAACCTCGGCAATAACAAGTACATGGTGCAGGTCACCACCACGGCTATACGACTTATAAGAAGTAAATACACTTTATTGTCACTTGTGAATGAAGAATCTCTTATTTGAGGTCCATTTCGACATATACCTCTAATATGAAGTTTTTTTTATATCAAAAGATGGTAAACGAGCGAGCGGTCACCTGAAATCGCTGAAATAGCGAAGTGACCGTTGCCCATAGACATACAATTGCATATGCGTTGCCTACCTTTCATCGACAGAGGAGAAGATGCACAGAAAGAAAATATTTGCCTTTTCCATGCATCCTCTCATCCGGAAAGTCCACCTCCACTTCCCATCCTTTCCTTATAAGAAAAAGGGTGGGAAGGAAGGAATAATTTTGGCCTCGTCGGCCACGTAGGTTACAGGATAAAGAGTAAGCTAATAAATAAAGAAAATAAATAAAGAAAGTATAATACTAGAGAAAAAAAACAAACAAACCATAAATAATATTAAACTAACATACATATAAAGAGTTTGAAATCAATACACGGTTACAGTCAATAAATAAATTCTGAAACACATGACACGTTGTTAGGAAACGAATACGTTGCTTCAGTTTAATTTAATAATGCGTGTTGATTCGGCACAAAATAGAGTATATTATAGGCAGTCCATTAGCACAGTGGATGTAGGAATGTGGATGTAAGATGAGACGTGTGCACCAGACGGTGTGCAGCTGCAGTCGATCCAGCTGGAGTGGGCGGCTGTGAGCGCGGCGGTGGCTGACCCC